TTTAGTAATGGGAATTCAAGAACAGGAAGATGTTTTACTCTGCCTGAATTACTACACTGCTACACACATACTAACACTACTAAGGTGTGGACTTTATGAACGCTAAGCTTTAAAATCTAAATCTTAACCCATTCATTATCACTTTGAATGTAACTGAATATGGAAACTACAGACAAAATGAAGGGGAAAAGAAAAAGAAAAAGGCTATAAAAGAACACCTGAACATATAAAATCCACATATCATCTTAAAGCTAAAAGAACATGTGAACATTAATGATTTATCATGCTCCAGCAAAATCCACATATCAAAAAGAAACGACTAATTATTAATTAACAATTAACAACTAAAACTATTTTAAAAATGTTTGGAAATATCAACTAAATTATGAAATCCAGTGACACAGTTTATGCTTCAAATTTCTTTGCATTACCTTCGTTGTCAACAATAATCCGCACAGAGTAGCCGTTGGTCGGGCGAAGGTGGAGAAGAAGGCTACAGGGAAAGTGGCTGCGTGTGGGGTGCGGCCCAACGGAAGGCGTCGACGATGATGACGTTAGGCCCGCTTGTGGCGGACGCCGAGCCGGGCGAGGTAGGTGGCGAGCGGGTAGCGGATTTTTCGTTCACGAGTTTAATTGTGGCTCAAGAGTTTTAATTGATCAATTTTTCCGAAAATAAAGAAAAGATTCAATTGAAGCTAATGAAAAAGTACAACGATTGAAAAGCCATTATAATCGATAAAATTAATTGCCTTCACCATTATAATTTTGGAAATGAGAGAGATGGGGAAGATGATAAAGGCTCGAAGCAAGATCGAGATCTGGAGAAGAAAACGATAGCCATGGCCTTCATTAGTTTTGGGATTTTATTTACATATTTTTTTTAAACTGATTTAATGGTGCCCCTCTTGTCAAATGGGCCCTGGGGCGTAGCCCATGGTTCCTGGGCCTGGGCCGGCTTTGTTCGTAAATTTATTTGATATGAATTGGTGCCATGTTTAAGTTTGGATTTGATTAGGATTGGATGTACTATAAACTATTTTAGTTTTTTTTTTTCTTAAGTTACCATATGCTACGGTTATATTTTTTATCTAATTCATACNTTTAAAAAGGTAAGTATAATAAAAAGATTTGAATAATAAAAAAATTAAATACCAAATAAAAATGTACACTTTGACTTATTTGATTATACCAAATATATTCCTATTTAGTATATACATTAAATACTTACTAAAGTATTTATTTGTTTTATTTGTCAAAGTTAAGTATAGATTTGTTTATATTATCAAATCATAAAAAATATTAAATCCATATTGTAAAATAAAAAAAAATCATATAATTTTATAACAATTCCACTACACTATTTAACAATATTCCTTTTTTATTATATAATAAAATAATAATTAAATATTATATGGTGAACAACAATAAGTAAAATTGTTACTTTCTCTTATATCAAGGGATAAATTTATATGCTAAAATTAAATTTTTATTAGTATAAATGTTTTAGTGAGATAATATATGAATTATTTTACAAGCTAGCCCTAACATGCTCATATTTAATGTTTTAAAAGATGTAGAAAAAAAAACTTATATCATATTTAATGTTTTAAAAGATGTAGAAAAAAAAAAACTTATAATAACTCTATTGTTTTTTAGACTTAAACGTTGATTAAAAGAGGTAAAATTCCTAATGTTTTAGACTTAAACGTTAATTAACACCATAGATTGAGAGTTTATATTTAGTAAAATTCCTAATTGTAATAAAAAAAATTAATTTTTGCTATATTTTAGAATATCTTTAAATTCATTATAAAAAAAAAAGAAAAAAAAAACTACAATGAAAAAAACAAGTCAGCTATATATCGATTTGTTGTACTCCTCAAATCACATTCACAATTTGGCTACAAGGAATGAAACTCATTGATTAAAATATTATTTTGTCAGTAGTCTTAGGGGGGTGTATTCAATTCGGAATTTAAGTGACATTTTAAGACTCTTCGAGATTTTAGACTTTCTAAGATTTTCAGATTTTGGAAGAATTNTAATATCATTTTAAATTAAATAAAATTATTTTAGATTATATATAATATTATTTTAAATTAATTAAGAATTATTTAAATTAATATTTTATAAATATCCGCCAAAATTGGAACTCAAACTTAGGGATAAAAATATCCGCCCAAAATGGGCGGACAAAACAATCTCTCCACATCAGACTAATGAAGAGAGACCCACATGCCACATCAGAATGGTCCTTTCCCTTAACCAACATAGTAAACATATCATATCCTATCAACCTTAGGGGGTGTATTCAATTCGGAATTTAAGTGACATTTTAAAACTTTTCGAGATTTGAGACTTTCTAGGATTTTCAGATTTTGGAAGAATTCTATGAAATCTCAAGTCCGGAGGTAAGATTTGAAGTGAGATTTCATATAAGGTTTTTTGTTTAAAAATTCCACTAAATCTTAAAAAGTCTTAATAAATCCTAGTGTCAAAAAAATTAAATATCTCAGGATTTTGTAAGACTTTTGAAAATCCCAATTGAATACACCAAGATTTTTAAAAGTTTTAAAAAGTCTTAACAGATTTAAATTGAATACACCAGAATTTTTAAAGTCTTAAAAAGTCCTTAAAAATCCTAATTAAATACACCTCCTTAATAAACGTGATCATAACATACTAACGTAAACTATACATATATAATAAGAATTACCATTTAACAAAAATAGTAGCAAAAAAATAGGAGAGAATTTAATGCAACCTATAAATAATAAGTTTTATTTATTTTTTATTTTTATCTTTGAAAAATCATACAACATAATGTTGCATTAAATTTTTGGTTTTAATTCATTTTATTATTTAAAAATTCTAGCTAAGATCTATTTAGTGTGCATTTTTCATTTTTATTTTATTTTTTCATAGAAACAACGAAGAACATTAAAATCTCAGTCTCTATATTTATAAAATCTCAATTGAAAATGTAATAAAAATTTTAGAACATCGGTCTTTATATTTATGCCTTCAAAAAAAAAAAAATATTGAATGATATTCGGTAAATATCATTTTCCACTAATCATCACAACTTTTTTATTTGAAACGTGTGATAATAAATTTGGTAATGTTTATCACTTATTTGTTTACAAATATATTGTTTTTTTCTATACTCAGTTTCAAAAGGTAAAATAATTATCAAATTATCAGTCTCAATAATTGTCCATTTAAAAAAAATATATTTAATGATAATATATCATTTGTTAATAGTACACAATTTTGAAAACTCCATTATAAATTGTATGTTGATATCCAAATCATTTTATAAATACAATCGACTTTGTTAAATCTCCATGAAAATATGGTAAAACAAAATGAGACGATCAACTTTGTATAGAAATAAAATAAAATCAATAAATCAATATGAAGTTCACAGGAAATTAACATAATGAATAATTTGTATAGTACACGGATCTAAAAAATAATACTCACGTGGATTCTAAAATTCAAACTTATACGTATCATCATGTTCTGGAAATTGAATAACATATTTTCGGCAAGATTTTTTTAAATAATTTTAGACATGTTTTATTTATAAAATAGTTTAGAAAAATTTTAGGTGACTTCACATCTTCAATAATGATATATAAAATTTTAGATACTTTACATATGTTATATAATATTTTAGGTGTTTTTAATATTTTAAACATACATTTTTTATGTTATTTTATACAAGATAAATTTATATTGTTTACAACGGATATACGATAAATTATATCACATATTAACTCCACATCTTAATTACAATTATTAGTTAATATTATTTACCTTCATATTTAATTTATAATTATTAATTAATATTATTTACTGTCATCGTTAATTCATAATTATTATTTAATATTATTTACCCGTGCATCGCACGGGCTACACACTAGTTTAATATAATATGACGTAAGCATCAAACCGCATACAATAAATTCGAGCTACTGAAAAAAAATCCGCGTATATTAACGAACTTCCAAATGCTGTCCTTTGCAGCCCGAGCAGCTGAAGCTACTCACGGGTCCATTTAATTAACCTATTTATAATCTCCAACTTTTTAACAATATAATTTATTCTCTTCTCCTATATATATATATATTCCCCAATCACATGTAGAACCAAACCATAAGTACTATCACAAAAATGTCATTCACTACTAAAATTTTCATCACAATAATCCTTCATATTATTTTCCTACTCTTCTCAACTCCTACAATTGCAAGGCACTACCCCATACTTCCTAGTGCCCCCTCCACTGCACTCCCCAAAATCGGGTCGAAAACGAGAGGCTTTTTTACCGCAGCCCCATTTTCGAATCACAAGGGTAAAGTTTTTCACGGCCGTGAAATCAATGACTGCATGCCTAAAGGGTTCCCTCATTCGTCAGCCCCTAGCCGCTATGTGAACTATCACAAGCTCGGCTCCTCCAG